GTAAATCGCCGTAAATTTTGCATAAAGTAAATGTAAAATTTTATTTAGCGGTCTTTCTTTGAAGTAACCTAGCTGTTCAGTGAACAGTTTTCCCGCCAAAACTTTCAGGTGTCCGTACGTGAGGATCACTTATAATTGCAGGATGATTTTGAAATATTTAAGTTGTACTTGGATAAGGAGCATCCCCTCAAAATTTCAGCTTTCCAGCTTTTCTGGGTACCGAGTTAACAATTTTCCCGCCAAATCTTTTACGTTCCCAGAGCCACGCATATCTGAGGGCTGAATTTGAAATATTTAACTTTTACTTGGATAGGGCACATTACCTAAAATTTCAGCTCCCTAGCTTTTTTGGCTTCAGAGTTAGAAATTTCCCGCCGAAACTTCCATACGCCCTTACGTGAGTACCACTCATGCTTGGGGGATGAATTTGAAACCTTTAGCACAGACATGCACAAGAGTGATATTAAATGATATTAAAACGGGAGGGTCGAGCATGGTATGGGAAATACTCCCAAAGTTTCAGCTTTCTAGCTTTTCTGGTTCTCGAATTGAAAGTGGATGATAAAAAGTACGGACACGTAGAGATACAGTCTCTTGCCAATATGCCTTTTTGCAATTTGCATATATGCAAAAACGCACAAAAATTAAGTAAACAGGGTGATAGTGTATTAGTTAACATTTTACATAAGAAATTCAAATTTTTGCCAAAAGTATCGCAAACATATCGCAAACATTTTTCAGTTCATTGCCAAAAGTATCGCAAACATTTTTCAGTTCATCGATCATATTTTCCATCTCAGTCTTTCTTTTTTATGTAAAATTTTGAATATAAGAAAAACCGTACCTGCTGCATCACCCCGCTGGAAGTGTGTGTTTTAGCTGTTTCAGTGATTTCACCGTACGTCAGCTTATCGAATTCTTTCTGGTCCACATCTGGTGGTGCAGCAACCCATTTCAATTTCCCAGTTACTACATCTTTCAAAATGAGACGTGCAGCACGTGAACAATCTGCTACACCGGACGATGACATATATCCTGAAATTTAGCTTTTTAGGCAAATCCTGAATCGCTAATTTGAGCGCAGTTGTCATTTTCTAACGTGAAAGAGCATTTTAGAAAATACTTAATACCAGGTCCTACAACAACTGGTTAGGCAGTCTTGGTCTTCATATATGAGGCCGAAAAGATCACCAATATCACTGAAATGACGATACCGAAAGCAGACAGGTGTCAAATATAGCACTGCCAAACCTTTCCCTTCTAGGCTACTTGCCTCAAAGCCAATTTTTTTAACTACTGGAACCACCAACAAAGAAAACCAAATCTGATAACTATGTGCCCCGCGTGCATAATCGCTTTCACATCACCTTTTTTAAAGTATTATATTCTGCATGCTCCATTAAGATGAAAGATTATCGGGTGAAAAGATTTTTACTTGAAAGATGAAAGATTATCAGGCGAAAAGATTTTTCATGAGATAGTGCATGCACATAAAAATGTAAGATCGGCAAGGATGAAGTTGCGAAATGCAATGAAAGAGCCCGTAATTTTGCAGTCTGTGTTTCTTCCCTTGGCTGAAAACACAAAGTATTGAGTGCAGGTTAAGAATGGGAATCATAAGTACAGCCTCACGCCCACAAATCAGGGAATAAGTTTACTTTTATATAGCTGAGACTGAAATGGAAAGTGGGTTGTTAAAGGACAAGAGGTAGGGGAGACGGAGATGTGGGGAGAGGAGAAACCACTATTCGCAAAACACATTAAAAAAATAATAAAAAATAAGACCTCGCATAAAGGCGACTGCGGTGAGAAGGTCATGCGCGCTAATCGGCGTCTCTTCACTGTCACAACTGTCGGCAATACCCGTTAGCATAAGTGAATATGTCTTTTCGAAACATTCTCGTGGAATTCTCGTTAACAGAAGTGCAACGGGTGAGAAATAGTCATGCATGTGGTCCACTGAGAGAATTCCATTTAAAATCATTTCATTGCGACTCAGCGCAAACGATGGCATTACGAGACCCGGGCAATCGCATAGAACGAGCTGAAAAAAAGCATGATATGTTGCCTCAAAATATGCAAAAAAGATATTGCCAATAAATTAAAATTCCTTAAATATCAACACATTTTGAATATCATCATACCAAGAATTCTCTAGTGATAAAATCAAATCTAGAAATCCTTACAAAACGTTATGTGTGAGTCCGGCTTTGACTGCAGTTCGCAAGGCCGTATGTCTCCAGCTTATATTTTCAAAAACCATCGATAGAATT